TTCCTACCCCAAATGTGGACAAAGATGCTTCCCTTTTCACTATGCTAGAGCTGAGGTTAAATATCTCACTCTACTAGATTTTACCAAAGATTGGGGGATGACCCATGAGGAACAAGCAGAGAGTAAACTACAGCTGCTCATTTGCTTTTTTTTAAAATGGAGTTTATGCATCTTCAGCTTCAGTCTTGCATAGGACCACCTGCCTGCCACACTCCTGTCCTGCAGCCACAGATCAGAAGCCATCTGACCCCTCCTACCCAGGAATGCCCACGCACATCTTAAGTCCACAAAACAGAGGCATGCCATTTCAGGGGAAGCAGTCAGAGAGAGAAGGGGATGTGTACACGGGTGGAGGAGAGAAGCTTTGCCTCCCTAACTTCCTGCGAGGAAAGCAATTCTAACTCTTATACTTAGATGGAGCTTTCAAATACATACGAAATTAGCTACCCAATTATGAGTCCTAAGTCACATACCAACTGACCTGTGGATGTTGTGGAGAGACCTACACTCCTACATCCTGGCACTCAGAGCCTCTAAGCATGGCAGTCAGGTGGTATCACCATGCCTTGAAGTCCAGACCCAAGAAAACAAGACCCAAAGACAGATAAGAGGGTTTCCTGCCTGAATTTTCCATCTGGGGACCCACTTTTCTGGATGATGGGACATTGGAGTGGTTGATATTTGGAACAATTCCCTACTTCCATGCAAGCCCCATTTCCTTCCCACAGACAGGGGAGTGGTCTTCCTTCAATCTCTACAAGATAAGCATATCAGAAAGCATCTTAATAATTCATCTGAGTGATGCATTCATAATGTAACCAGCATTAAGCAGAGGAAGACAGTCTCCTTACAAGAAGCTAGAGGACTGCTGCATTCCCCAGCTACGAGACAGCCCCTGGCACAACGGAGGTGCTCAGATTCTTCGTAAAAGGCCGTTCAAAGGAAAGCAACTTGCCTTGGTTGTGTTTGCTGAGCATCCTTCAAGAAAGCGCTACTAAATTATGATCTACTATTAAGATGGTTATCTAGATAAGCACAAAACTGAGATGTGAGCTTCCTTCAAGTAAAAGAGAAACCAGCTGAATGACAGTTTTCACAAACTGGTAAAAAGGAAGCAGACCCTTTCTTGAAACCACACACCTCCTGGGATAATTTTAGGCATTTTATCCTTAAATAATTTATCTTTAAATAATTGTATACCTTGTAATAATCACCCCACCCCATATTCCGGTACTGTTTAACCATCTTTCCTACCTTCCCACCCGTCCTGTCCTCTGTATGGTGATTATCTTCACTTTTAACTATCCTCTTTTGCTGGCTTTGTATGGTCCACTCCCCAAGTCCTTCTGGGGCATATGGAGCGGAGGAAGGAGCAACAGATTAGAGCAGCGCAGAGTCCAGATAGAGAACCAGACTTGCACTCTGAATGGCCAGGGCATTTGCCTTGACCTTCCTGAGCCTCATTTTTCTTTACTTGTCAAGTAGGGATAACAGCTCTTATCTCATCACATTGTCAAGAGGAATAGAAGAAAATATAGGCAAACCATGTAGCTTGTGACACAATAGACTCTCAATAAATTTAAGTTCCTTTTCTCTTTCCTTCTCTCCCTTTTGAAAGCAGTCAGGATATAAATTATACATAAATAAATTACACATTACACTAGAAATCCTCAGAAATGATTAATATAACCAATAATAATGTTAATATTAATAATAGGTTACTCTAGCAGCACCGTCCTAATTCTGCCAATCAATCTACTTGCTCTGGCTTTGTCATCTGATAACATGGTGCTCAAAGTTTACCCTGGAAAGAGGTGAATGCACAGGATTTCCCATTTTCGGATATTTTTTAAATTCTTTTTTACATCAAAGTGTTCTGCTACAAACCATTACTTCGGGTGCAAAGGGTAAACAATGTTTGCCAAGAAATGAAAGACTGAGACATGAATGGAAACACTGAAAAGCTACCAGCAGTATCTGAGACTGAAAGTGAGGTTGAGAAGCATCAAGAACATGCTGGAAATACTTATTTCCACTGCTCAGCATGCCCAAGAATGGATGAGACCTCACAGGAGAGCATGGACATCATCCCCATTACCAGCAGAGGCAAACTGAAGCCAGGGTCTTGAAAGACAGAAACATCTAGAAGATTCTTAGCCTAACTTCAGCCCAGGCATCTGTCATACTTTCTCACAGACTTCTTTCAAAATTGAGTGTGGAAAAAATTGCTTCAAAGAACGCTTGAAGTTCGCAGATTCTGTGAGTTCATTTGTCCGTATTTCTTTAAGATTTAAATGGAGGCAACCAGAGTGGTTGTGAGTGGGTTCTGGAGCCAGACTGCCTGCACTGGAATGTCTGCTCTTCCACTTGCTAACTGAATCCCCCTGAGTCAGTGACTTAACTCATATCCGCCTCAGTTTCCTCAACTGGAAAATGAGGATCATAATAAGGACTAAATAAGGTGATGTTTGTAAGTTCTGGGACACTGTCCCTAGAAGGCAGTGGATGCTCAGTCATTTCCTGGCCCAGTGCTTAAGTGGAGATCCCAGGCAGCGTCTTCCTGGCCTACTGCCAGCAGCAGGCCATCAGAGCACCTTGTGGCTATAGTAAGATCTCATACTTCTTTATTCAACTGAATTATTTATTTCTAAGGTGTAATAAGATCTGGCTAAACTTAGGTCAAACCCCAAATTTCACATCCAAAGCCCTCCCCACCATGTCTGCCCGTTGTTCCTGCCTCTTCTGCCTCCACACTCCCACGGAAGCATGTATGGGCTCTCCTAATGTCAAGCTGGACGCTGGGACCTGCTCCTCGTGGGATGGGGGCTCATGAGCAAAATGGGATCATTACAGGGAAATAAAGCAACGCCACTCCATTTGAACGTCCAAGTGTAGCATACGCATCCTGACACTGACACAGCCACCATTAACTGAGGAGAAGAGAGGAAAGGAAGAGGAACTGACATTGTTGGTGCCTATTTAGTGATAAGCACTGTAGAGATTTTCACATGGCTCATTAATCCATAGCCGGCACCGCCAGTCCTCTTACCTAGTTTTACAGATGAGGAACATACATCACAGAGGGGATCGCTGACATTCTCACAGCCAACAGCTCGTGGGGAAACTGAGGTTGGTATCTTGAGGATCTTAAGGTATAAAGGGGGATCCTATGGAGTTCCAAGAGTCACAGTTCTTAAGCCTACTTGCAAACACTCATAACAGCCACCAATAATCAGTGCCTACTCCATCCTATGGCCTCCCACTGTAGCTTGCTCTGACCCAAACCGAAAAGCACAGAGCGCCCAGGGCGGCCAGGTCCTGCAGGTGAGCACCCCTCTGACTTGCTCCACCCCCTCCGCCTTGTAGGCTGGTCTGAGGCCACCAGAGGGAGCCCTTGTGTTAAGAGCAAAGGGCATCTGACTGCCCAGTTATCAGCTGGGGTTGGGAGGAGGCGGCCAGCGTCCTGAGAGCTTCCGTAGATGATTGCTCCATCACATTATTTACAAGTGGACCCCAGACATGGTTGCCTTTGACCTGAGTGAGGGTTGGGTGTGAGGGAAAGTCACAGAGAACCTTTGGCCTGTCCACCGTTAAGTGTGGAGGAGTGGCCTCCAGTCTGATTGTGCGCAGAGCCCACAGGGCAGCAAAGATCAAACTGTGAGCCAAGATTACTGTAGCGGGGCGTGGTGGCCATTGACTTCTTAAAGTAAATGGCACATCATGGCTCAGAAGAGAACAGAAAATATCACTGCGATAACACACACTGTAAGGGTGACTGTTCTGAGACATTTTTATTTCAGTATATGTATATGTGTGCGTATCTGCGTGCTGAGTCATAATGTAGATCTATCTTACAGCGTCATCGATTATTAAAACATGCAGACCTAAAGAGCTTATTTAAAGTCCAGATTCCCAGACCCTAGAGCTGAAGCATTCACTCGTGCCTCCCTCGGGGTCTTGAAGCTTGCATTTTCATAGACTCCCTGCCGCTCTGATGTCAGCCAGGTTTGGGAGCTGCCTGTTACTGGAAGTGAGCGCGCACGCAGGCTGTCCTCACTTTCCCCCTCCTCTCCCCTGGACACGGCAGGAGAGTCTTGTCCTTTCACCAGCGCGGCCCTAGCCAAGCAAGAGAAGTCACACAGACCGCGCCTGGAGGAGAGCGCGGCGGCCTGGCCTGCAGCGGCGGGACCCCCAGGACAGCCGCGAGCTCTCAAGAACCGGAACTGGGTATTGGGTTTCCAGCACCAGCTCTCTCCGAAAAGCAAACAGAAGCGAAAACAGCAACAAAAGAACAAAACAGAAAAACAAAATCACTTTAGAGTCAGCCAGACCTGGTTCAAACCCTGATGCTCCTGCTGGCTACCTCCGGGCCCCGGTGGGCCGGTCAGAGGATGCTCTGAGCCTGCTTCCTCCTGCTAAACGGGAATATCAGCGCTTCCAGGGCCCTGGGGGCCTCACACATAATAACGTATCCAAACGCTAAATACCGCTTGGCCCCAAACAAGTGCTCCATTCTAGCAGCCCCCTTTCCGGCCTCCGCGAAGTCCCCCTGCCAGGGTAGGCAGCTCTGTCCCCGGGGCCTTGGTGTCCCTGTCGGTGAGCCAGCGTGTTGGGACGTTGAGCGGCCGTGGGCAGGGGCCGCTTGGGTCCGGGCTGTCCCTACTGGAGATAACGTTGTCAGCCTGAGCGTCCTGTACTCGCAAGGCGGAGCCACCCCAGTCCTCGCAACTCCCGGCGCCTGGGCACAAAGTGCACCCCCGGAGAGTGACCGCGGGGCCAGCCGGGGAGAGAACCGGGCAGAGCGCTGGCTGGCGGGGAAGGCCCCTCTCCCCGCCGGCCCGGCCCGCGACGCTGGTGGGACCCAGGCGGCCGCAGAGGGGGAGCCGCCTCGAGGGCTGCGGGGTTGCGGGGTGCGGGAAGGGCTGGCAGGGGGGCGTGGGGGGGGGGGGGGGGGGGGGGGGGCGAGCTCAGGCGTGGCCCCTGCGGGGCGGGCGGAGACGGCGGGCTCCTGGCCAGACCCCGGCTCCGGGCAACTGGCCTTGACTCCCAGGTTCTGCCTCCGGGAAAGCCATGGACGGGGTAAGGCGCGTCAGTCTCTTGTCGTCCGCTGTGTCCCTTCTTGCCGGGTCTGTTCCCCCCGCGGGCTGCCGCGTCTGCCTCCCCGAGAGCAGTCAGCACGTCCGCTGTCAGGCCCCCAGCCCACACGGGCCTTCCTCCCGGGCGGGGGGACGGCAGGGGGTGTGTGCCGCGTCCTGTGCCACCTCGGAGGCTGAGGGCACAGGGGCTCTCGGGAGCGGGGGCGTCGGGGATCCGCTCGCAGCCCGGGGCTGGGCTCTGCCCTGACCCGCAGCCTGGTCCCCAGCGCCCGCTGGCTCCCTGCCTGCGGCCCTCGAGGGCTCTGCGGGTCCGGCCGGGGGCCGCCTTCTCTCCCGTCCGGGGGCAGCGCCGCGCCGGGCTCTTTGGGGGCTGATGGCTTTACTGTGGGCTCTGCTCCTTATTAGCTGTGTGGCCTGGGGCAAGTGAGTTCATCCTGCTGAGCCCCCTGGGTTCCCCTCTGGTAACATAACATACTAGAATGACTAGTTTGTGGGATGACTGGAGGTGCTTGCAAACAGAGAGACGTCTGGGCGAGTGCCCAGCACAAGGCGGTGGAATTCCCTTGTCCTTGGATGGCGGCGTGCTGTTGGCATAGTTGGAGAATTTCTCCACCTGACTGACCACAGCTTCCTTTTTCCTTCTCCGGTTCGCCACTCCCTCTGTTCTCAAATCAGGGTTTTTTTCACAGAGGGGGCATGGGGTTGCTTCCATGTGGTCTTTATTATGAATTTGGAGTCAAGTCATTTTCTCCTGTGAATCATGTGGCTTCCCTCCCAGGGGTTTGGTTTTAAATCTGGGCAGAGGAACCATTTCAGCTGCTGCCCGTCAGGAAAAGCTCCCCTTTGTCCCCAGGCACGGGACACCTGTCTCCCCGTGGCAGATCACTCCAGCCGGACTAGCTGAGTTTTGGAAGACAGTGAGCAAGGGCACACTGGTGTCGCCTCCAGCTCCTCTCCTCTGAGTTCTCTCCCCCCATCTTGCAGTTCAGCAGCTTCTGAGGAGTTCCTCCTTGATGGAGAAATGCCAGGCTGAACAGAATTAGTGCTGTTGTAAGAAAAAGAAGCTGACTTACACTTTGCCCTCTGTGATGTGGTGGACATCCACGGCCTCCTTCATTTCAGTTTATCTGCAGCACAACTCAGTGAAGGCGAGGCCATTTGCCGCTTTTTGTAGGGGAGGAAACCGATGGTCAGAATGTTGTCACTTGCTCAGTATCACAGGGCTGGCCAGTCCCAGAGCTGGAGCATGAACTTAGGTTTGTCAATAACAAATACTGAGTGCCATCTATAAGCCAGGCTGCTAGCAAGGATGACAGTGGGAAAACAGGTAGAATGTTAGACAATTTCGAGAAAAGTAAGAAAGGGCGTGTCAGCTAATGACATTTTTATGGGATAAGCTAATGTGGTTATGCAACTTTTTCTGCTTAGGGAAAGGGAAAAAAGATCAAAAGAGAAATATGGGTTATTTCTCATCTTAGAGGGAGGGTTCTGCTTCTTCTTTTCTTTTTTCTTTAGTGAGGAAGATTGGCCCTGAGCTAACATCTGTGCCAATCTTCCTCTACTTTGTACGTGGGACGCTGCCACAGCATGGCTTGATGAGCAGTGTATATGTCCTCACCTGGGATCTGAACCTGTGAACCCTGGGCCACTGAAGCAGAGCACATGGACTTAACCTCTATGCCACCAGGCCCGCTCCTTACAAGGAGGATTTTGTTTTATTTTTAAAAAGTCAACAAAATATTCATTCCATACGTATATCCTGAGCCCTGCACTGTGTCGTAGGGTCTGTCTCAGGTGCTGCAGGTACAGAAGTGAACCAGTCAAAAATGCCTGCCTTTAGAAAACTTCTGTTGTCATGGAGAAGACAAATTAATGCACATACACTAAGTCAAAGGGCAGCAAGTGCAATGTAGAAACACAAAGCAGGGAAGGGTTTAAGGACGGCGAGGCAGCAGGACAGGCCGCTGTTTTAAATGGGATGGTTTCAAGATAGGCATCAATATAAGGTGACATTTGAGGGGAAACCTGAAGGAGATGAGGGAATTAACCACGTGGTATCTTAGGGAAGAACATTCTACAGAGAGAGAACAGCCAGTGCAAAGGCCCTGAGACAGAAGATGCCTGGTGTGTTCAAGGAGCAGTAAAATGGCCAGAATGGCTGGTGCAGAGGAAACAAAGGAGAGAGTGGTCAGAGGTAGTGGTCAGATCACGTAGGACCCTAGAGGTCATTGTAGGAACTTCAGATGTTCCTGTGATTGAGATGAAAATCCACCTGAGTGTTGTGAGTGGCATAACGGAATGATCCAACTTACGTGTTAAAAGGGTCATCTGGCTACTGTGTTGAAAACAGATGAGAGGGCGAGCAAGAGCAGAAACTAGTGCAGCAGCAGGAGACTATTGCTATAATCCAGGCAAGAGGGCCCAGTGCTCAGACCCGGGTCTCAGCAGTAAAGGTGGCTAGAAGTGGTCAGCTTCTGGATATATATTAAAGGTACAGTCACCAGGGCTTACTGATGGATTGGATGAAAAATGTGAAAGGAAATCATCAAAGGGAGGGATCATCAAAGACACCAAGGAATGAACCCTGAGCGCCTGTGAGAATGGAGTCAGCTCCCAGTGAGGTGACCTCAGGCGGGCGCCTTGTGGGGCATCGGGAGTGGGTTTTGGATGGAGTAAGCTGTAAGTTGGGGGCCGAGTAGGTTTAAGGGAGAAGCCTGTTAGGAGGTATGCTTGAGACACTGTGTCTTCATGGTCTAGCCTCACGTTGGGTGCATAGAGGGTTTAGTATGTATTGCTGTGGTGGCTTACTATCTGACAGTTTTACTGTTAACTGTGTGGTTTTAAAACTTGGCTCCACATTTTCTGACATTCCTCCCATCAAGAGGTGGAGTTTTTGTTCTCTTCTCTTGAATCTGGATAGAACGTGACTGCTTTGGCCAAGAGAGTGTGACACGTATGACATTGGGTGACTTCAGAGGCTTCCACCTCGTCTGTGAGAACACTGAGGTGTACATCCCTGAGCCCCATGTAAGAGGCTGGAGACGCCTCATGGAGCTGCTCCGGTTGACATTTCCAGCTAGGCCTCACCTTCTCACATTCCCACGAGGCTGGAAGCAGGACCCTCCAGACCAGCCCATCCACCAGTGAGATACCATGAGTGAATTTCATCAACACCCTGGAGAACAGAAGAATCACCCAGCTGAGCTTTGCCCAAATTCCTATCCCACAAAATGGTGAGATATGGAAAGATGGTTACTGTTTTAGGCCACTCTGTTTTGGAGTGGTTTGTTTTGCATCAATAGATGTCTGAACAATTAGATATCCTTTATTCTTTTTAGTTACAAAGAATTGTCACTCTCCCCCATGCACATAAGGCTCAAGGCACTTCTATAAAAAGATGCTTTATTTGTAGTTTAGACACTCAAACAGAGAGGTTGGTGAGTTTTTCTCTTTGTAAATCTGAGAGATCCCCTATTGCGTTCCCTCAGCCAGGTAAGTTTTCACTTAGTCACACAGTCTTGGCAAGAGTATTATAGCATTTTTGAGCTGCGAATGCTTTTCAGTTGGGATGTTTACAAAATGGTACTTGAATTTTGATGAACGAGCTTTAGAGTTGTAGTTGAAAGACCTGTGTTTATGTTTACTTCCGCCTTTTATTAGTCAAGTGATTTGAGCAAATCATTGAATAATAAAATGCAGGAGTTGGGAGATTTCTCAAAGACCAGTCAGTCTAACAAGTCCCATTTTAGCGAAGGGGAAACTGGAGGCCCACGGGATTGGGGGAGGGTGGTTTGACAACAGACTTTGTAACTGCTTATTCACTGTGCCTCACATGTGGCAGATGCTCCGTAAATGTTCTTACTGATTTTGAGAGTAAACTGAGGCAGCAGATCACCAAGCCCTACCCTTTTGTTATGCAATAGATATTTCCCCAACATCTTCTAGGAGCCAGGCCCCATCCTATCATTTCTGAGGGGGCCTATCATAGATGCTGAGTTTTGCAGGGGAGGGTGTCACGAAAGCAGACGATTGTAGTATTAAATGAAAAGTGGAATGATGAAGAGAGGTGCACGTTTCTGTGGGAGCGCTGAGAGTAGGTGCCTAACCCGGGGCGGGGTTCCTCCTGGCCTCATTGGAGGGACTGGCGTCTGAGCTGAAGGTGAGTGGAGGAGCAGGTGGCATTTCATCAGGGAAGGAGGGGAGCAGAGGGACAGTGTGGACAAAGGAGCAAAGGGCAGCAGTGTGGATGAGAGTTCAGAAGACACTCTTGTAGTTAGTTGTTGATACAGCAGAAAATTAAAAGAGGGAAAGAGAATGAGAGAGTGCGTGTGGCCAGAAGCAAATCCCAAGAAGTAAATAGGGGCCAGATGTCGAAAGACCCAGAATGCCGTACGTACTTTATCCTATAGGCCGACCTAGCCTCTGAGAGACTTCACCTCCAAAATAGGGAGCGTGAATTAAATGTCCCCAAGGTCTTGTCATGCTCTGACATTCTGGGACTGCAGCACTTTCCCAAGGTCATACATGGCTTGTTTTAGACAGAGCTGAGTCTAGAACCCAGATTCTGAGTGCCTGTGAAACCACTTGGCAAGCCCTCAAGAGCAATTTCAGAGGGGTTTTTCCTGACTGATCTGATTGTTAATGAGTAAGTCACAAGACAGGGTAATGTAAAAAGAAAGTGGACCAGCCACCCGATAAGGATCACACTGTAAAGATAGTCTGTTGTTAACAAGCTTGTTCTTGGGAGAGTGGAGTGCACTGGGGATTAAGATCAGATTGTCGGGTCAAAGCTTCTTGTAGCCTCCGGAAATTTTCTGAGAAGGGGAAAAGGGAGGATCATCCAATTATTCACAATTCTAAAGGACTGGCCATATCACTTCCACCTTTGCAGAGAAACTGTGCTGAGAGTCCTCTTGACCTGTGTTGTTTAGTCCTTGACGGTGAGACATTAAGTGACCTGCACAGCTGCAGGGCAGATGTCTG